ACAGGGCAGACCCTACAATGAAAGGCTGCGGGACCTAAACCTGTTCAGCCTTCACAAGAGAAGGCTGAGGGGGGACCTGGTGACTGTCTATAAACTCACTAGGGGGGGGACCAGAAGGGTTTGGGAGAGACACTGTTTCCCCTAGCACCCCCGGCACAACAAGGAATAATGGACACAAGTTATTGGAGAGTAGGTTCAGATTAGACATCCACAAGAACTACTTCACACCTAGGGCGGCTAGGAGCTGGAACCAACTTCCTAGGGAAGTGGTGCTGGCTCCTACCCTGGGGGTCTTTAAGAAGAGGCTGGATGCCTACCTGGCTGGACTCATTTGAGTCCAGTTTTTCTCTCGCCCAGGCGGGGGGTCTGACTTGAAGATCTACAAGGTCCCTTCCAACCCTAATTCTATGATTCTATGATAATTATATACTTTTGGCTTGAAGCTGTAAATTATCAATTTACCTTTCAATTGTTAAGGTTTAAGTCATATGAGTCCATGCACGGAATTTAAATTGGCTTAGATGAACCAGTGCAAGTTGGCACAGTGCAATTTCAGTATGTAGACAAGCCCTTCCAGAAGCCTCAAGTGAGGCATCATTAGTCTGTCCTCAGCTGTAGTTGTCTTACATCTCTCAAAAGTCTTAAGCCATGTCTAGCCATGTGGTAAACTCTGCTAGCATATCTAGACCAATACACTGCACTGGTCAAAAGCTCTTAATGTAGATCCAACATATATCAACAAAATTGTGCTTTACTATTGTCCCCTCTCTCAGATAAAGTGAACAAGCAAAAGCACAGTTCTGCTAGTGTCATTACATCTGCAGTAGATGTTTTATCCAACAGAGCTGTCTCTGTCACAGATCACTCACCATACTCCTGACTGATGGAGCTAAAGTGGCAAAAAATTGCCAAGACCTGACATTATTGCTTAAACTATTCTGCCTTTCCTCCCTCAGCCCTCTCACTCATCTGGAAACTATCAGTCCAAGATTACTTACTGAGACAGTCTCCACTACCAAATGAACTGACTCTCAAAACTCTTCTGTGGTGGCAGAACTCTCTTTTCCACTGGTGAAGTTAAACTGCTTCTGCCGAGTCATGCAAGGCTTCTGCTGCAGTACAGGGGTCAGCAGAAGACATGCATAAACCAGTGATTCTCAACCAGGTTGCCAGGGAACACTGGGATGCAGTAAGATCTTCTGAAGGATGCCACAAGTTATAAGGAGGTAAATGCAAACTCAAGCTCTTCCATGCCTGACCACTGCCCTACTCCTACTATCTGTCCCCTCTAGAAGGAGGTGAGCACTTTAATAGACTTAGGTTTGAAATGGGTGCCGCTCAATTAAAAGAAGTCATGGAGAGGTGCCTTGAGTCTAAAAAGATTTGAGAAACATTAGAAGAGACACTCCAACACCTTCTGCTGACTACCATACTATGTTCAGGATGTATTTTGTGCTCTGGTAGCACAGCTGCTGAGTAGAGTCATGCAGAACCACCAAGTACTCTGGGATGTACACATGCAGTGGCAGACTATGGCAGAAGTGTTAGCACAGACTAGGCCTGAGACCACAACTTAGTTACCCAAGCTTGACTTCCTAAGTTTCCTATTGTGTTTTCTCTCTGAAGCACAAAAGAAACTAAGAACTTCAACTGCCAGATAAAGGCATATGCTTTAAGCTACATTATACCCTCAGTAGTGCTAAGGACACCATCATGGTTTGGAAGTTTTAGCAATTTCTGCAGAGAAATTATGCATCAATGATCCCCATGAGCTACTATCATCTTTATCCAAAATAATAATTTTTGTGATATGCTTTACTACAAGGGAGAAGGTCTGCAAAAAGTCAATACTGGTACCTAGTACAGTAATGTTAGCATTGTTTAAAAATCAGTTCAATATCAATATTATAAAGGACAATGTTTTCAAGTGGAATTTTAAGTTGTGAGTTGGCAATTTACAGACCCTTTCTCAACCAATGGGAGTTAGGAGTATCTCCAATATATATTATGGCAGCTGCTTTTGCTTAATTTTATCCAGACCATAGATCTCATAACAGCTATAGAATACTGGATTCCACATAATTTAATTACAACATTAGACTCTTAATTAGAACTGAAAACAAGATTCTAATTAAATTTCCTTACTTATGAAAAGGAAGGAGAAAGGCAAAAACTCAGAATAGCAACCAAATCTCATTTTCATCATGATTCCCAACAACTTATTATATGACTTGCACATCTGATAAACAAAAGACGACGAAGAAAACATCCAGCAACTTACATTTATCTTCGTATTGAACAGAATGTGTCTGTAAGCCTGTGCTTTGCATAAAATGGCATTAATCAGGATGATAACAGGGTCGTACTCAATATACTTGTCCACAGGTTTCTGGCAGGATTTCTAAAATTAACAAATAAAAAAAAGTAAGCAAACGAAGTCTACTTAGAAAAATAATCTGCTCTTCTTTATTTAGTTCAACACAGTCGCTGCACTCATGAGGGAGATTACTTCCCCTCTCCTCCCCAACTCATTTTCCATGTTATTCCTTCCACCCCAACCCCTCCTGGTTTATCTTCAGATTCATATCAACTTCTTAGGCATAAAAGATAAAGGTAGAGATTGTATTTTAGTAATGCATTCCCAGCTTTACTCTTGGAAACAGATTTATGTACAAGACACATTGTCTTTGTTGGTAGACAAGAAACGTTCAGTCAGTCAAAATGTGGCACGAGACATCATGCCCACAAACAAAACTGTACGATGAAACAAAATCCTTGTGGCCTGGTAAGGATTCCTGGGTGTCCATACTTAGTTTCTTTGTTTCCCTTTATAAACATGTTACTGTTGGAAGATGTGAGATTTAAAAAAATAGCTAAGGTCACCAGCAACTTGACTCCAAAATCACTGGAATATAAATTAAGATAGATGCACATGCATCTAGACAGGAAGCTTAATGTAAGACATGGCACAGTGTTTGCCAGCTGTCTGGTCACAGAGTCAACCAGCTTATTTTGGCTTAGCTCTAGAGCAGGGGTTCCCAATGTTTATGTACCCAAGGGCACATTCAAATTTAAAAGAAAAAGCAGCGGGCACCAATACGAATATTAAAATTTAGAACCCTGGCTATGCGCATGCACATAGTTTCACTTGGGGAGGGAGTGTGCCACTCCATCACTGCATCAGTCAGACTGACTCAGTCTCATTTTGGCAGCCGTTGTGTACAGCCTGTGAAAAAAAATTTAAAGTGTTTCTGTTCTGAGCTCAATCAGCAGTGACAGCATTTTTTGTTGTAATAATGGTTTTTACTGATTGTGAAAATGCATGCGGGCACCTGAATAAACCTTGAGGTATGCCATGGCACCTGCGGGCACCGCTGTTCTAGAGGAACCACATTTTGAAGCAGAGAAGAGACTGATATAAGAAAATATGAATCATGAAAGAGTTAGAGGTAATGGACTCAAAAATTGACTCAATTAACCAACAGCTTTATAGGCTTGAAATTAAAGTCAGAGATGGAAGAAAGGATACAATTAATTGAAGACTAAACCTGGAACGTTTAATAGAGCATAAAATCTACTGTGGAAGAGATTACTGTTATAATTAAAGGCAACGTCTCGCTTCATTTTTCTAAAGGAGAGTTGTGAAAACATCTTCTGAAAGGCAGTAATTTACATATGCTGAGGTTTCAGGCTGATATAGCACAAGAAAACTCCAAACTTTTTTTACAAATTTCTTCACAAAAAGCTCTGGAGAGAGAAACAAAAGGACTTGCCTTTGAACACAGTAGCTGCTTGACTGTGGAATATGCAGTGTGCCCCTACCCTTTATTTATGGGCACAAAACTAGCTTTAGAAATCCCCACCTCTGACTGTTAAAGCCTGGAATCAGCTGGATAGCTAAAAGAAGCTTCTCCATTTGGAATGGGAGACAGAAGATGACAGAGCCAAAATAAGGGAGTACAGAAAGACTCCGCACAAGGTCAACCAACTGACAGTCTGCATCCAGGATACAAGCAGCATGCAGCTGGCTAACAACTTGCACACATAGTTTAAGAGTTTTTAAAACAGAGTTTAGAAACACCAGACAATCACATCCTACCCAGCCCAGGTATGCAGAATCCCAGCTCATCCTGTGAGACGGCTGCTGGGAATATACATACGAAACAGTAGTTTTGATTACAACTGTGGATTTTCTACTTTCCAGTTTTTGCAGGCTACGAACAAAAAGCATGAATCAACCTGTTGTCTGGGGTTATGTCGTCTTTGCTGTTATCCTCAACAGTATTGAAGTCTCAGGAACTGCAGTACTAGCCAAAGTCACAGCGAGGAGATCCTAACCCTAATTTTGTCTCAAAGAATGACCACAGGTTCAGTTTGGTGGCAAGGATTTGGCTAGGTTTACTGTCTACAAGCATGGCCCCAACATGTTTTGGTTTAGCAAGTACATCAGCTCAGGAGTTAAGGCATTTGTACCTGTCACAATTTAGTTGGCACACACCACAGAGGCTCCCCCAGGCCACTACAAAAGTTGCCCTGCTTTCCAATTCTCCTTTTATAAAATGACCAAAACAAATTATATGAATGTCTCAACCATCCTGTACCAGCAGCTTGTTTTGCATTCTGCCCTGGGTGTCCCCATTCCAGCCTTATCATCCCGGTTCTGGATTATCCTACCTTGCACAGCCATATCCCCTTCCCATCTCTTGGTAGAAATGCACATCTGGCTCACAGGCCAAGTTTTGTTTATGTGAGTTAATGCATTGGTCAGATTTGCTGGTGAAGCCTACACTGGCTGCTGCTTTAGCAAAGCCTTTGTGTGAGCAGCATATATTAATTAAAGATGGATGTGTAGGCATCACTCCAACATGGTATCAAATTAAGTGTTCCAGTTTGACATCACCAAGCACAATTAGGAATATAACATGTCAGAATTAGGATTAGCAAGGAAAAAAAATGCCATCATGTCCAGGAACTTTGACAATGCTGACAGACTAGTTTTCAAGAAGTCCTAGCTACAGAAACTCGTCACTTCCTCTCCACCATCCTGTAAATATAAGAACTTCTTTCATTCCTAATAAATCTTATTTTTCAGTTAGACTACTTGAGGTTCGAACTGTATTGAGACAAAGTCCTTTGCTGCTATTCTGTCAGTGGCTCAGTCTGCACAAACTCTCTGTACTCAACTCAGGTTTGCAGGCAAAATGAGTCTATGTTATGATTATCGGTTAAAGATTCCTAAGAGGCAATATTTTCTTAGTCTGTTGGCTTTTTCTGGTACTAATACCAAAATAACTGCTGCTAATGTAACCCTGAGGTAAACAAGTTTGCAGCTGGAGCATGTACTAAGTTAAATCTATTTAAATAAAGCTAATTCAGTTTAATACACCTACCCTAATTTAAGAACACGGATTTTAAATTTAGTTAGAATGATGCAACTCTACAAATGTTGACAGCACTACTGCTTGTACATCTGTAAGAACAGTTAAGCTGTAAGAAACTACTTACACACTGGGTTTTTAAGATTTTTGTCAAGCTACCCAAGGGGAAATGAAATACTGAAGCCCCTTAGTTAATTTTCCTGATATAATTGCATCTCCACACAGTCAATTGAATCTACAATCTGCAGTCATGCAATATACTTAGCATGCCTGAGAAAGCTACCATCTTAACATCACTGAATCCAACCAGTCTTCATTAGATTTGCTCCACAGAACATCACTATCTTTTATATTTGACTGTAATCAACTTTGAAATTTGAAAAAAAAGTTATCTGCTCACCTTCAATTTTTATTTTAAATGTACTACCATCTTCAAAAGCTGGTAATAAGCTGGATTAGTTTTACATAATTTCCTTGAAATATAAACTACTGTTATCCACTAGGGCTGTGTGAAACAGCACCATTTTGTTTCGACTTCCATTTTGCTGTTTCGAAGGGACAGTGCTTTGTTTTGTCATTTCACTTTGAAGCACTGTTCTGTTTTGTTTAATTAAAATGGTTTCACCATTTCAATGTTTCGCCCACAGGCTATAATGGGGAATCACAAAAATGCCTAAACATTTCTTACCTGATTTGGTTGAAAATTGCGTTGATGATAGCCCCTTCTGAGGGCATGAAGCCTGACAAGTTTCAAGGAGACAGATGCAGAGGTTTCTGGGAAACTGTACCTCAAACTGTTCAAAGCAAAACTCTTGACACTTGCCGGCAGCGGCTGCCTCCTCTCCTTTAGCAGCAGATCTGGGGACCTGCACCCCCAGGAGGAGTCTGGCACAGCCCAGCAGCCCTCCCGGGGGTGTGAGCCCCAGGATCTGTGCATGAGATGAGCGGAGGCTGCCTCTACCACCTGGGATTAGTGGTGGGCGCAGCCTGCACCCAGCCCCGGGGAAGACTGCTGTTACTGCTGGTCCAAGGCAGCAACGGCAACCTCCTCTCATCTGGTGCACAGATCTGGCGGGTTTGTATCCCCGGTAGGAGTCCAGCACAGCCCAGCAGCCCTCCCGGGGGTGCGGGCCTCCAGATTTGTGTCCCGGATGAGAGGAGGCCCCCACTGCCACCTGGGACCGGCATTAAAGCCAAATAAGCCAAGCTTCGAAACTCAAAATATTTTGAGTGCCCTTGTTTCATTTCAAAGTTGTTTCAAAGCCTTTTGTTTTGTTTCAATTTTGCTGTTTCAAACTCGAAACAGCTTAAAAAAAAACAAAAAAAACAAACGTTGGGCAAAATTTTGCACAGCCCTATTATCCACTAGCTTCTTCCAATTATACAGAACGGAAAATAAGGCTCTGCTGTCTTTGTTACTCTTGTGTCAGGTGAAAATTATTTTTACCATGGCAAACTAAATATGGCATTTAGAGAAATGTTTAGTGCTGACAGGCTTACTCCACTGAAAAGGGGGAGGCACGTATATTCCAAGGAATATTCATGTGTATGTGTGGGGACCTGTGGATGTGGTGTACCTTGATGTTAGCAAGGCTTTTGCTATGGTCTCCCACAACGTTGCTGCAAGCAAGCTAAGGAAGTACAGGCTGGATGAATGGACTCTAAGGTGGATAGAACACTGGCTGGAGCACCAGGCTCAGGGAGTAGTAATCAATAGGGCTGTGCAAAATGGCTATGTTTTGATTCAGTTTCGGATTCAGCCATTTTGGAGGGACAGTGATTTGTTTCAGTATTTCAGATCACTGTTCCATTTTGATTCGGCCAAATCTATTTCAGAGTTTCAATGCTGTTTTGGTGATTCAGGTATAGGCTACAATGGTGAATCACTAAAATGCCTATAACTTTGTCGTGTCTTGTCTAATTCAGATGCAAATTGCAGGTACAGTAGCCCCTTCTGAAGGAATGAAGCCTGCCAATTTTCAAGGAGATAGGTGCAGGGGTTTCTGTGAAACTGCATCTCAAA